TTCCCTCAGTTCCTACAGATTTTGGCAAGCGGGTGTACCAAGGAGTGCGTGTGAAACACACAGTCAAAGATCTTCTCGCTGAAAAACGGTCCAGGCAGAGCAGTGGCTCCCGCTTCCCTGTAAGTCACTTACCCCTCTGCTCCCCTCCCCCCTGTTTTTTAAACCAGAAAAGTAATGTCATGTAATCCTCTGGTATAAAGAACCTTTACGTGGAGTTCAGGGCACTGACAATATTGAAAAACATTTTCAGCACTCCTGTGGCCCCCAAAGCTCACAGATTTCTCCTGGAGTTTTTGCATCACTGAGCCTTTGAGAGATTGAAGCCCTTCTGTTTATTCTCTTTTAGGCAAATCAGTAATGCTGAATTCCTCATTCCTTTCAATCCTGCATCCGACACCTTTCCAAGGCAACTTCCTTTTCTTGCTAGCTGTACTTGAACAACTCAGTACCCCAAAAATAGCTGTTCTTCCCCGAATGCTGTGCTCCTTCCAGCTCCTCTCTGGCTTACAAGAGTGCCAGGGGAGATGCAATAATGTTATGATCTGGAAAGGGGCCAAGCATCAGTTTATAAAAGATCCCTCTTCTTAAAGTGGCTCTATGGCAACAGGAAGCTTAAGTCAAATTACAGTATGCTACATTGGTTTTTTTTCTCAATTCCTAGCCAGAAAAACAATTGCTGTCCCTAGAAGTGGGCACAACATGGCAGGTGCCAGCACTTGGCACCCAGTGGCACAGCAAAGCTATTCCCTGGGTGCCCTCAAGGTTCACCTTTACCAAGCAGCAGCAGCAGCAACACTTCTCTGCCAGGCTGATTGGCAACAATGAGGTCACTAACAGATGAGCAGATGCAGTCAGGCTGCTGAAACTGTGCCCTGGAAGGAAAGGGTGGGAGCAGAGACCCAAATTACTGGCAGAAGAAGGTACTTTATTAGGAGTTCTGATGCGTTTTCTCCCCCTCAAGCCATTTGCCTCAGGCCTTTTGCCTTTAGCAAAACAAAGAGACCTCAAAGGGACTTGCAAGTATTTTCCCTTGCTGTTTCTTTCATGCATTTTAACTCTGTGTAGCAAAGCAGGCAGAAAAGCAAGATCTAGCCATGGAGATCTCCACAGCCTTCAGCTCATGCAGAAAGGCAGGAGACCCCTTGAGCCACGGGAAGTACATGATTCTACCAGGCAGGGAGACTGGGGAGCAGCAGGAAGCATCCACTGTGTTTGCACTCACTGAGAAAACAGCTCCTGGTTGATGACTATTGTGCTTCCTCTGCTCCCTGGCTGGAGGCTGCAGCTTCAACGGACTCAAAAGTCCCAGGAACTGTAAAACACTTGCTGCTTGCTTTATTGCCCTTTGTATTCCAGAGCTTCACAGTTGTGTGTCTGTCTAATGCCAAATCTGTTGCTAATTCTCTACGAGAGACAAAAAAATTATTGAGCAGGGCAAACATCCGTATTTGCTCGAAGGTCTCATGAAAAGAGCAGCTGTAAGCACAGCTCTGTTTATCTGCCATAATATAACCCAGAATCAAAGCCAATGGCAGATAACTGAACACCCCTTTTTATATTTATGATGCAGTGTAATTTAGCTGCATCTTTTGTTCGAGCATGATCTTTGCTCCAAAAATCAGTAAGCTTTTATTGTGCAAGGGGAAGTCTACGGGGGAGGTTTGTGCTCTGAAGGAAAGGTCATTGATCATCAGAGGTGAGCTGCTGAGCAGTTGACTGAGGCAGCAGGAACAGTTTGATGACAGCCAGGCCCTGCATGCACCAAATGATAGGAAAGGAGCATGTACTGTGATGAAAACCACACAACTTGGGCTTTTGAGTGCCCAACAGGACAGAAGGGCTCAGTCCTGGGCTTTAGGGAGGGTCTGACTTTTTCCTTGGCTCATCCAAAGCACAGCCATGAGCCAGCAGTTATCTGTGTGGAGAAAGGATCACCTTTCTTTTCTCAGACAGGGAAATCAGTAGGCACACAGATCAAGCACTATGCACAGGAGCACTCAGAGGGCAGGGACAGATCAAATGAGGTGCCCTGCCCAGAAGGTTTGCTTTTATTAATTCTTATTACTTCAGCTGTTCTACTACAGACTAGGCCCAGAGAGGAGACACACTGAAGCCAAGGACCACCACAGGTCCCCAGTGCAGGACCAGGTCATCATTTTGACCCACATCCTTACATTTAGTCCCCCAAGGCAGCCTTGTAGCTGAACAAGGCTCCTGGGTTGCCAAGGCAGCAGCTCCCTGGAGTACCCTCAGCCAGGATCTGTGCCCAGTCACGCTCCAGGCAGGCTGAGACCAAGCTTCTCCACAGCTGAGGACTCTGTGGGCTCCAGTGATGCTGAACAGACACCCGTGTGTGGCAGAAGATGCAGCTACCCCAGTCCCACAGCACTGAAAGGAAGTAATGCAGGGAGGAAATGAACTAATGGGCTTCAATTAAAAGAAGCCACTCACTGCCTGATAAGGAGAGAGGAGGCAAGTGAAACATAGGTCTCTGCAAGCATGTGGGTGCCTGCTATGATGAAGGCCAAAGCTTGGCTGCTGCAGAGGCTCCTGCAGTTGAATTTAGGCAGGTAAAGCCCTTGCAGCTCACAACAGCTCTGTGGCTAACCATTGTAGGTGTGTGCAAGAGGACCTGCTGCCTGGGATCTGCTGCCTGGGACACACAGTGGCTCCTGAGCAGACAGGATCCAAAATAATCTTAGATGCACTGCTACTGTGAAACCTTCCACACCAGAGGCTGGCACCAGCAGAGCATCCCAGCTCTCACCACTGCAGCCCATTGATCTCCAGGCAGCATCTGTGCTACCTGCACCTCCTAAATCAACCTTTTCCTCAAATACAGCATTCAAGGTGCCAGATGACAGTACTAGAATGCTTTCCAGTGGGGTCTAAACACTAGTGCAGAAGCCTACACCCCTACTGTCAAAGAGACTCCTCAGTGGGTGTAGACATGAGCTGTCTGCAGGATTCACTGTCCATGGGCAGGCAGAGGTGGTGGGGAAGAGCCCTGAAGCAGAAGGTATCCCTAGAGACAGGGATGCTTAGAGAAGGGTGTCTGCTGAGGCCAGATTTGCACGTGGAGGCTTTAGCTTTGCAGAGCAGCATGTTTTACCACCTATGATCCTCACCGAGGTCTGTGGCCAAAAATGGCCCAACTAGAGACAGGTGCAGGCCCTGACCCTGCAACGTGAACACTCTCATTTGCCCACAAGCCAAAGGGTTCCTTCCTGACACCTTCTATCACTCCTGCAGCCCGTGTTGACTTGTGTGTGGGCTCGGAGCTCATTTTCATGATGGAGCAAGGAGCAGCTGCAAACCTCCCTCAGCAGTAAAAGGAAGTCCAAGCACTGGCAAATTTAATTCAAATCTAAACCTCTAAATTTGGTTGCTCGCTATGGCAGGAACCTCCTGTTTGCAGTATGCAAACTGAAAATAACATGCCACCATCACTGGCCAGGGTGGGAGCACAGATGAGGCGAGGTCAGCGGTGGGCACGGTCTGTTTGCTGCCTAGATTTGGAGGTCTGGAGACAGAACTTGATGAAACTCCACGTGTGAGTTGAGCCAGATGCTTTTGGCACAGAGTGCTTCATGAGGAATTAGCCACCGTGAGCAGCAGGGTCACTCAGGGTTAATTCTCCCTCACCTCAGGACCAAGAGAAGATCATTGTTATCAGTACTGCTGCAGCACCCAAATGGGGATGGCAACAGCTGCCTTCTGCACACAGCCTGCCTGTCCTGCTGGGAGGCACCAGCCAAAGTGGCTCTGTGGCAGCTGGACTCAGCATAGTAGAGCCAAGCTAAAACATGGGCAGTGCAGATCTGCCTGTTTTGACCAGCCAAGAGCTTAGATACCAGCTTATTGAGTCCTCTTTCATGCCAACACCAGCCTGACTGCTCAAGGTTACGCTTGCATGAAGGGACTCTGCAGCACATGAGAGAGAAGTTGGTTATCTTGATCTTTCTACTCTTATCAGCTCCATGCAAGACCTTCAAAATCTCTTCTTAGCCTACATCTGCTAATACCCAAGAGGCCCCACACTTGGAATCCTGTAGTTAAGCTCTTCATACTGAGAGCAGCTCAAATAGTTCATCTGCATTATGCCATCACCTCCCCAAACAACATGCTTAGAGAGCTGCCTTGCTTTGAAAAGACTTCTTTTTTAACATCTCTTTATCTTTTGCAGGGCAGCACCAGCATACCACAGTCACCACTTGTCCAAATGCCAGGTGAGGTTTTCTTCCACCAATAAATACCCTCCCTGCAGGCTGGACAGTCAAAACTGCTCCTGTCTCTCCTCCAAAGCACACAAAGGGAGCAAAGGAGCTCTGGAGCAGGGCACCCCTTCAGACAGAGCCCAGGAGAAAAGTAATTGAAAGAGTCAAAACAGGAACAGCAAGAGAAAAATATAAGAGAATATAATAAGAGAAAGACACCTGTAATCTTGAATGAAATTTCCAAAGAGGGAAAAGAGAGTTATTTAAAGCAGTTCCCACCTCTTTTGACAGAGGTGGCACACAGAACCCTTTCTTTTCCCTCTGCATCTTCCAGTTTTCCCTGAAGAGAGAAAGCACAAAACCAGGAACTGACCTGTTTGTCCCTTGAGCTCTGGGGCAGGGAAATGAGGCTGGAGGAGGGACAGAGAGCTTGCAGCTGTAATCCCATCCTTCTCCTCACAGCCTGTGGCAGAGCAAGGACGAGGCAAAGGCTGAGCATAGCTAACCTCAGTCTGCCTGGCCTCCCACTTGAAGCCTCCCAAACCACACTTGGTTTGCTGCAGATGGAGGTCATCAGCTGCATCAGGGCAGGCTGAGGTGCTGAGAGCACTTGGGTTGGTTGACACACCCATTTCAAGGCAGGATTGACTCTTGCCCTGCGTGATGCTAGAGAGAAAAGTGCTCTACTCTGCAGCTGCAGAGGTGCCCATAGCTCTGTGCCACCCCAGGTGCTGCTCTTATGGTTTCCCTTGAGCCAACCCTTTTTTTTTCTGACCACTACAGGCTCACCTACCACTGCTGGTTACTATGGCATCAGGAGATCCTTCACAACAGACTTGGATTTCCACAACACCAAGCAGTTTGTCAGTGATGTCTACTCGTCCTCTCTAGGGTCCAAGCCCTTCTCGTGTGATTCCTCTGCCACTCAGGGCTACCCAGCACTTCTGGACCCATTCCTCACCGACCAGTACGGGGATTACCGTGCCACTCCCCTCACGGCTGGCACCAGCTCCTTCTTCAGCCCTTCCTCTGTGCCCCCTCTCCTGCCCTCCTTCCCTAACGACACAGCACACCTCCTACTAGTGAGTGAGTCTACTGTTTTCAGTCACCCAAGGAAGAATTACCCAATTTAAAGCTGGGGTTAAGTCAGGGAAGGATGTGGCTCTTACAGGAGGCAGCCACAGCAAACAGCAGGTGGGGCTGGGCTGAGGGGGGAACATTTTTTGTCCTTCTTGCTGGCCTCCATCTAATTATCCCCTCTTCTTGTTGGAGACCAGCTCCTAAATTAACAACCTTCCCTGCTCCCTAAAACAACGACTCCATTAAGCTCCTTAAGTTTCTAGAAACATCCTTTGCTGACTCCAGGCTGTTGCCCCTTCCCTGGAGCCAGCTCCCTTCAGGCCCCCAGGGTGGGTCCTGCAGGGTCAGGGCTGGTCAGTCCCACTGGGACCCCACCCCAGCATCGACAGCATGAGTGTTTCCTTGCAACAGTTTTAACACCAAACACTGCTCCAGAGCAACAGAAACCCTCAAGAGGGATCCCAGCTATCTGGGGATAGCTCAGCTTGGTGAAGCCCAGCTAGATAATGCTGTTACCTCCAGCACAAGCTGTTTTTCTTAAGGGTGTTTCTTCCTTTCTCTCCCCACTTGCACACAGAGGGAGCCCTGGGAGCAGACCTCACCCGACAGCCTCGGCCAGCTGGATGGAGGCTGCTCAGACCCTCTGCAAGCACTGCCAGCCAGCTCCAGCTGCCTCTCCTCCCACGAGGCTGGAGGCATTGCCCCATACCGAAGCTCTGGCTGGAGCCCAGCCCTCCCTGGAGCCCAGCCTTACCCTCTGCATCCTCTCGAAGATGTCCACTGCTCCCCCAGCTATGCTGCCACCTCGTCCTACTCCTTCTCCCCACTCATGACTGTGGCAAATGAGCTTCCCTCCAGGGTGAGCCACCTCTCCTCAGGGGAGGCCTCGGAGACAACGATGCTTCACGAGAACTCTGCCTGGGCAAAAGAGGATGGAAGCCCCATCTGGGGGACCTATGAAGGCCGGAGAACTTATTGATGAGAGATGAGAACTGGAGGAAAATCAAAAATAGACTATTATTGAAGCAAGTGAATTCGTTGTACACTTTTTTCCTAAAGCTGGTCCTTCAAACAGAGGATGCTGACAACGTGCAATGCTTTATGCTCTGTTTAGAAATACAATCACTCACATATACCACATTTAACTTATAGTGGTGCCTTCCAGTGCCTTATGAAAGTCATTGCTCATAGTCCTGCTGTGCTACAAGTAAAATACACAGCCCAAAAAAAGATCTGCACTCTGTGGGGCTTTGCTACAAACAAAGGTACTTCTTTTCAGATGCTGCAGAAACAGGTTGCTGTGAACTTTAAACTGTATCTACAGAGCAATGTTACCAGAATAGAGCTGGGAAAACTGGGGAGCAAGGCAGGGGCTGAGGGAAGCCCTCCTCAATAGCACAGGGTCTGTGTGATGGTACCTGCTGACCTAGCACCATAAATGTATGTCCCCAACACTGGCATGCTGAGAACAGGGCATCGTCTTGGGCAACACATACGGGCAGAGCAGCCAAGGTCTGGCACGTCTGAGCCTACAGCACAGAAGGCTACAAGCAAATAAAGCTACAGCAGGACCTGGCAGACAGCTTAGGGTTTTGGGAAGGGTTGTCAGGGCACCGTCCTGCCTGGTGGTGTGCACACCTCATTCTCCTTCCCACCTACAACACACAAAACACATCCCCCTCCCTCCCAATTTCCCTCATGCCCTGCAGAAAACGCAAAGCTGGTCCCTGTCCTGCCTGCACCGTTTGTACAACACAACTGTGACCCGGGCACAAGGCAGCCCCCTGCCCAGAGGCACCACCGTGGAGCTGGGAGGAAGGCTGATGTGAAGGTGCCAGGCTGTGCCCGTGGCCACTAGAGGTAGCTCTGCACACACGGACACGCACCGAGGAGTCCTGGGCAACCCTCGCAGGCTCAGCCAGTCCCACCTGCTCTGTCCATACCTGTAAGACGTGTCCCACTTAGGTCGTTGTGCCCCGTCTCGTCCCCCAGGCTGGCACCCAGAGGAGCAGCAACAAACTCCTCGCTGAGGAAGGACAGGAGCTTTCCAGGGCCAGGGAGTGTGCAGTGATGAGATGCTTTAAGGCTCTCCTCGCCTTCTCTCCTCAAATCCTGGGGCTGATGGGGTGTTTGGAGCCTTCTCAGCACCCTCCAGGGATCATAAATGGCACCGAGGTCACAGGAGGAGGTCCAGAGCATCGTTTCATGCCATGCTGCCTGCAGGCATCTCTCTGCAGGGGGAAATGGATTGGGGACCCAGCACTGCACCTCCAAACAGGCAGCAGTGCCAAACCCCTGTAAGCAACACTGCAGGGAGCTGCTACATGGGCCAGGCAGGTCCTCTACAGAAAGCCCTTCATTTTATAGGCATCCTACCTAAGACCATCCCTGGCACACCTCAGACTGAGCCCAGGAACATCCCTGCACCCCACAGGCACACAGCAAGCCCCTTGAAAAGCTCCCTGCTCAGCCCACACCTGACAGACAGTACCTCCCTGGCTGCTCAGGCACCTGCAAACCATCCAGGGCACGTGCTGGCAGCAAAGGATAGAAAGAACGTGCCCAGGGATCCTGGCAGCTGCCCCAAAAGGGCAAATTCCACGTGGGCTGCCCCAGGACAGACCCCTCAACCCTGACCCCTTAGAGCACTGCTGAGGAGAAGCAGCTGGAAGAGCTGGAGCAGCAGCAGCCCTGGTGAAATATGCCCAGCAGAGCCCATTTATATCTTCAGGGGCTCAACACAGCTGCTGCTTCCACCCCATGGGTTCCACAGCCTGCTGCAGCAGTGAGAAGCAGGGATGGGGTCCACAACAACCTTAGAGCCACTCCAAAATCACTGCTGTGGGTTGGGCCCCAGAGAGACAGGGAAAGAGCCAGTAGCCAAGGCTCTTCTACACTTGTGCTAAATGTGGGGTGAGATGGGGCACCATGGGCACCACAAGCAGGTGTGGAGCATCACAGGCTGGCACATGTTCAACCAGAGCTGCTCCCCTGGCAACAGGGCAAGGCAAGGCAAGGCAAGGAGCCCCAGAGCATCTCAGGAGGGTTTGCAGGTCACCTCTCCCTGCACCCAGCCCCTATGCCCCCAAACCTGAGGCCTGCATGAGTCCACAGCTTTCTTCCACCCCACAACTAACTGCCAGCACTGCCAGGTGGGATTGCTGTCACTGTCAGCCATCTCAGCTAGACCTTTTTGGAGAGCATTGGACCTCTGGGGAAACCAGGGTCAGCCTGGCTGTATTCCCATCAGGCTCTGAGAAGCAAGGGCAGGAAATTTTTGAGCTGTCTTGGAAGTGTTTGATGCACTCTGGCATTCCACTTTTGACCAAGGCAAGGTTTCTATGAGCCTGGAAATGCTCAGAAACCCAGGACATGCAGGAACACCCTGAACACAGGGCTGGTTTGTGCTTCCTTAAGCTGTCAGGACTGGAGCTGGGCACGATCTGCTCCGTGGTCTCTGGTTACAGAGGCAAACACTGTCCTGGGAGCACTGTCTGCCCTGCACAACACCCAGAGCTCTGCTGGGTGCTACCCACGCTGCAGAAGGAGGCAGCCCCAGCAACTCAAGGGCTTCAGGTCCCAAAATGCTGAGCACAGGCAGGCCTGTGTCCTCGTGAGGAGCCACATCACCACTGCGACCTCTCCCTGCAGAAACCAAACGGATTTGTTCAACTTCAAGAAACGATTTGGCTGGGCTTCAGGTCCCAAAATGCTGAGCACAGGCAGGCCTGTGTCCTCGTGAGGAGCCACATCACCTCTGCAACCGCTCCCCGCAGAAACCAAACGGATTTGTTCAACTTCAAGAAAAGATTTGGCTGCCACAATAGCCAGACTGAATTACTAGTAGATTATTAACAGCCTGGCCTGCTTTCTGCCTCAGACAGTATTCCCAGCAGAGGCTGTGGTGCCCAGGGGAAAATTTAAATGTAACCTAAAAAAAAAACCCACCCCAAAGTACATCAGTATTGTATGGTGATGAAGGGATAGCCAAAAACTGCACGCTGAAACCCCCCCACCTGCAGCACACAGGGCTGGCCAGCACTGGAGGGTGTAAGAGGAGAGAGGCCAAGCTGTGAAGCAAGAGGAAATAGTCTGAATTAGGAGAAAACACAAATAAACTCCACTATAAGCCCAGCATCTGGGCAGAGGAGTGGGAGTGCTGTGGAAGGAAGAGGGGTGCAGGTAACTTCAGCTACCCGGGTGTCCAGGGCAGCCTCTGTGTTACACCACGCCCACTCACTGCCATGTGGGCCCAAAACCCCTCGTGTTTCGCCTTAAAACGTGGAAAAAATGTGCAAAAACCAGCTCAGTCCCTTGCAGAGTCCTCTCTGCAGGTAGCAAATGAAATAGGAGAGGGCTGGAGCTCAGCCTGTGTGTCTGAGGGGAAATTACTGAGCCGGTTTGGAGGCATCTGCTTCATTTGGGGAAAGATGGGTAAAACCCTGCAAATATCCCAAAAGCAAAGGGTGGGGAGAGTGGCCCCACCAAATCTTATTCCCCCAGACCCTCTGCTAGTTGGGGATGTGCTCACTTTCACAAAAAGATAGCCCATTTTGTGGAGCCTTTGAATATTCAAATTGAAAGTATCGCGCAATCATTGATTGTCAAATCATTGGTTTCTAGAGGTTTTAAATACTTGGCATTAGGAGAGTAAAACTCAAACTTATACCCGTGGGGATAAAACCATAATATTGTCGGGATCCACCTGGCGTTGCCAAGAGGCCAGCGGGTCCCTTCGCCCCCAAATTTGAAGCCTGTCTCCTCTT